TGGAGATGGAGATGGAGGGGAGATGGAGATGGAGGGGAGATGGGGATGCAGGGGAGATGCACGGGAGATGGAGGGGAGATGGAGATGCAGGGGAGATGCACGGGAGATGGAGGAGATGCAGATGCACGGCGTGCGGCGCCGTGGAGGAGATGCAGGGGAGATGGAGATGCAGGGGAGATGCAGGGGAGATGGAGGAGATGCAGGGGAGATGCATAGCCATTTGGAAGGAGAAGAAAATAATTTTTGCTTGTCAATTTGATGCCAGATTGTGGTCTAAAATAGCTGTGCATTGGTTGCTTGCAGATGGATACTGACCAAAGCTTCTTGGACACCCTTGGTTTTGGTTACACGCAAACACAACTAGAAAGTCCAATTGGAGAGCAGGCAACTCCATCAACTCAGCATCGTTCTGCAATAACAGAGAAAGGAAAATCCAACAAAGGCAAAAATTGGTCTAGTGATGAGGACAAGGTTCTCATAGCAGCATGGGCAAATACAAGTTTGGATATTGTTGGGACAGATCAAAACCGGGATGCTTATTGGGATAGAATTTCAGAGTACTACAACACACACAAGGAATCATCATGGCCGGAGCGTAATGCTAATGCAATCAATTGCCGTTACACAACGATTAATAGAGAGATCTCTAAATTTTGTGGTTGCCTTCAGCAGATTTTAAATAGGGAAGAAAGTGGAAGGACTATACAAGAAAAGGTATGCGCCTTTCTTGTAATTCTATATGTGATGTGCAATATTCTATATGTGTTGTGCTTATTTTAACAACATATTTATATGTGCAGACAAACGATGCACACATTTTGTTCAAGGAAATGGATCTTAAAAAAAGAAGCCTTTCACACTGATGCATTGCTATGTAGAGTTTTCGAAGTATCCAAAGTGGCAGACAAGAGAAGTTGAAACTTCTCTTAAGAAACAAAAGAAGACCATTGATGCAAGTCCAGGCACAGCCACCAATGATTCGGCTGATGCATCCTCGGTACGTACTGATGCTACCTCGATACACACTGATGCTCTTGAACATGAGAAAAGACCTGATGGTGTGAAGAGGGACAAGAGAGGTAAAGCTGATGACAGTGCTTGCAAGCTGTCATTAGAAACTGTGTGGGCAGCAAAGCTAGAGAAGGATGAGATCAAAGAGGCGGCAAGAAATGCTCGCTACGCACAGCAATTGGAATTGCGAAAAGAGGAGATTGCACTCAAAAAGAATGAGGATGCACGAAACGAGAGGGAGGATGCACGGAGACAGTTTGAATTAGATGAGAGGGTCATGCTCATCGACACAAGTGGTATGACTGATGTTCAAAAGCAGTTCTACCAAGCTAAGCAGAAGGAGATCCTTGCTCGTGGCCTAGGGTAATGTGAGCTATATGTTGTAGTTGTAAGAACTATTTATTGCTTTCTGCTAGTTGAGGACATGGATTACATCACTCATTGCATAAATATTTTTATTGATAGCTGCATTACAAAGACATGGATTACATCACTCGTTTCCAAACTTTTGCCAGACATAGTCAATTAGATCAAGTTTAAGCTGATCATGTTCATCGAAATTTCTAATCCGATTAGTCATCTGAATAAAAGAGCTCAGTTCTTCCGCATGAGTACGAGAGACTGTGACTCTTTCTCCCATTGCCTCAAAAGTGCAGCTTTGCCGACCAGTTTGCCGCACCTCTTCAACTATCATATTGTGCATTATGACACAAGCTTTCATGACATCAGTGATTTCTTTACGTTTCCATCCTTTAGCAGGTCCACGAACAACGGCAAAACGGGATTGCAGAACTCCAAAGGCTCGTTCCACATCTTTCCTAGCCCCCTCTTGCTTCTTGGCAAAAGTTTTATGCTTTCTGCTAGTTGGAGCTGGTATGCTCTTCACAAATGTTGCCCACCGTGGATAGATACCATCTGCAAGGTAATACCCCATTGTGTACTGATGGCCATTGATGCTATAATTCACTGGAGGAGTTTGGCCTTCGGCTAGCTTTGTAAAAACAGGAGAACGTTGAAGAACATTTATATCATTCAGAGACCCTGGTAAACCAAAATAAGCATGCCAAATCCAAAGATCTTGTGAAGCAACTGCTTCCAAGATCATAGTGGGCTCGCTCACATGGCCTTTAAACATGCCATGCCATTTTTGGGGGCAATTTTTCCACCCCCAGTGCATGCAATCTATGCTCCCTAACATACCGGGAAATCCTCTTTCCTCCCCTATTGCAAGTAACCTAGCAATGTCTTCTTCATTTGGAGATCTCAGGTACTTTTCCCCAAAAACTTCACAAATTTTGATCACAAATTTCTTGCAAGACTCTAAATTAGTAGACTCAGCGGACCGGATGTACTCATCAACATAATCGGCTGCTATTCCATATGTTAGTATCCGCATCGCCGCGGTCATCTTTTGCAAAGGATGTAACCCAAGAGCTCCAGAAGCACTTCTTTTTTGCGTAAAATAATCATCATAGTCATGCTCAAGTATACCATCAGCTATGCGGTTGAACAAAGTACGCGACATCCTAAATCTGTGCATAAAAATTAAATGAGACAGGGAAATGAAAAAAGGACCAAAGCAGAGAAGTGTACTAATTACGAACCTTCGTCGAAACAAATGTTCAGGAAAGCGAGGAACTTCTTTGAAGTAGTCGTCCCACAGAAGAAGAAATCCGGCATCTCTTCCTCGATCGATTGACTGACGTCCATGCTTGGAACCGCCATGGCGTCGACCGTTCTTCCTCTCTTCCTCCTCCCGCTCGGCGAATGCTGCAAGTATGAGTTCATCGTCGCCAGATGAAGATGACGAAGAACTCATGTCCCAAGTGGATGTGTTCATTGTGTTGCGTGACAAACGATAGAGAAATCTAGGTGAGAAGAAAAGTCACAGGTAGAAGTGTGCTGGAAGAGAGGTGGTAGGGGTGGTTTATATAGATCGGAAATATGGCCGTTGGAAATATAGCCGTTGGAAATATAGCCGTTTGAAAATATAGCCGTTGGAATATACACGTCCTAATTTACACGTTCCACTGAAAAATCGGGAGATGTATAATTTAGCAAGGTGTATATGGACGTGTATATGGAGATATACACGTCCAAATTTACACGTTCCACTAGAGATGCTCTTAGAGTCTGAACCAAAATGAAGCAATCTCAGGCCATGTGCCCTCGCAGCCGTCCGATCATCTTCCTGAGCGCGTCCTGACCGTCGGATCTTCGGGTGGACCAATTCTAACCGTCTGATCGAGCCCACATCGATCCTGGCCGTCCGCTCGGAGTCGCCATGCCACCGCCTGTAAATTCCGTGCCCCACCGAGGGTATTCTCGTCTTTTCGCATCGCAGGAGAGGGGGTTGATAGGGCGCGACAGCGTCGTCCTCTCCTCATCTCCTTACTTCCCCCCGCTCCTCATTCCCCTGACCCTAGCCCATTCTCCACACCGCCCGCCGCCGCCGCCGCCTCCCGTCCCCTGGCGCCGCCACCATGCCCACTCACCATCGCGCCGTCGCGCCTTCCCCTCCTCCTCGCCCTCTCGCTGCTCAGCAGGAGGAGCACGGCTCGCCGCCGGCCCTCACGCGCCGCCTCTCTCCTCCTCCGCGTCGGGGCCGCTCGATAGAGGGAACACTGATGGCTTCAACGGGAGAAGCGGCAGGCCAACCCCCAGCGGCTGGCACCACCGGATGGCGGCGGCGGCCACCTCCTCCCGGCCAGCCGCACCGCGCCATGCCCATTTTCGCGCCGAGCTGCCACTCTCTTCTGTGTGCACGCCCTTCCAGCCTCATGGCGGGAGAAGAGGAAGGAGAAGCCCTGCAACCTCCATTCCTGTTCATTTCTTTATGTGCATCGGTCGGCTGGCTTTGCACACCCAACCTTTCCACCTCCACGCCCACCTGTTTCTGCATCCCTTTCTTGTAGGTATAGTACTCACACTTCTCTCTTCCTCCTGATTAGCCTAACCTCAGTCGTCTTCAATTTAATTTGATTGTGTAGATTCGTTTTTGTATGTGCCTACAGAGTGTTCGATGTAAATCCATGCAAGTTGTAGAGTGATGTTATTGTTTCTTTTGGCAAAATGATGATGGGGAATTGATCAATATTGAACGGATAGGCCTACTAATGTTACAGGCTTAATAATTGGATTTGTGAGTTCCATCCAGATTGTTCTATTATGCAAGAGTTTTATTTTAATGTAGGAGGAAGATCTGTATTTTTTGTTATGAATTACATATGTAAGTGTTATACTAGAACATTAGAGTGACCAGAACCTGGCGAGTTCATGTTAACTTGGCTAAAACACGTTTTGAGTGGTTTTTGTGTTTTGATTTTTTTCAAAATTGACATATCAATGTAATTGTTATATTTAATCATTGTAAGATGGAGATTTAGAAGTGTCTGCCTGTCATCCACGCAGTGCTACGATGACGGGCCTCCTCCACCAACCCCTGCCATGCCTTCTGGAGGAGAAGGAGGCGGCGGCAGCGGCTCCCTGACTGCTGCCTCCCCCACCTCCAGCTGCTCCTACGGTGCAGCTAGATTGGTATTTGCTGCTCTACCGCCGCCTCAGCAGCTGCTCATGCCCCTGTCCCAATGAAGCCGCAGGAGAGTCCTGCTGAAACGAGGGTGGCCCTGCATCCAAACCCGGCCCCACCCACATCCACATCCGCATCCGGAGGCAGCAAGGTACATTCAACATATGTCACAGCTCCACTGCCATCATTGTTCATGAATGGTCATAGTCATGGAGAGGCTATGCAAGGTTTGAATCAGCAGCCACCAGAAAACACGACCCGGTTTCAGGATAGCAATATGTGCCTCTCCCCGGCGATCTCGTGTTGCTGCTGCACCCCTTCCCTTACTGCCTCTCTTTCGTTTTTCTTAGCTTCCTATTCGTTTGATTAACGCGGTGTTGCTTCTTTGATGTCTATTGTTCTGCAGGTGCCGATCCCAGCATGAGTTGTCCTGTAAGGCGCTGGTGGTGGTTGTTTGTTAACAGGTATGGGATTTTCTTCTTCTTCATGTCGCAGAAGAATCAAGGATTACCTTTCTGCTGGTTCGGATGGAGTTTATGTTTGTCGTCAGCAGTGATAGTTCAAATAGATACATGTGTTATGTATTTAGTTGGGTCTGGGCGAGCAGCACAAGTGTTGCGGCACTAATGGATTGCAGAAAGTATAAATGGTGTTGATGGTGTTATACAAATATGCATGCATTGGAAGGTTGACAGAGAAGGATCTGTAGTATCGGCTGCTCTTTGTTTGAAATATCAAAATTTCATTTCATTCCTCCTGTTATTTTGATGCTGATGCTTGGCTTATGTGGTTGCAGATTGACTTTGCGATATGTTGAGTGGATCACCATCTCAAGGAATGGTCAATCAGAGAAGAAGGGTTTCCACCAAAAGTAAGTTAAGGTTTACTTACGTTCATCTTGGTTATATTTAAAAGATTTAGCTAACAATACATACTGATCTCTATGTGAGATATTTGTAATGATCAATAACTAACCAGTCTGATTTTATTTTGATGCCGATGCTTGGCTTATGTGGTTGCAGATCCACTTGTGATATGTCGAGTGGATCACCATCTCAAGGAATGGTCAATTAGAGAAGAGGGTTACCACCAAAAGTAGGTTGAAGTTTATTTCTGTTCATCTTGGTTGTATTTAAAACAAGATTTAGCCAACAATACATAATGATCTCTATGGGACATATTAGTAATGGTCGGTAGCTAATTAGTGTGATTTTATTTTAATACAAAAAACATGCAAGTAGATCTACTCAGAAGCAGAAAAGCATGAATTGAATAATTAATAGTAACCCACCATGTCGTTGATCTATTTCCTTGGAAAGGAAATTGTTGTCGGTTGCAGTTATTTACTAGGTATACTAATTTTTTTCTTATAGACACTTCTATGATAAGCCTCATGTGTAGTTGCAAGTTAAACTACTAACTTGATGTTAACATTACCATGCATGCCAAGATCTATGTTTCTATTCACATTTCGCAATAAACCTGTTGTTGTTATAGTTTTAGGCTAGAATAGCTGAAATTCACAAGTGGCGCTGCTTTCATACTAATCTAAATCAGGAGCATAATCCTAACCTACACTATGAGCATGCTTTCTTTAAATTATCAAGCTTTTGTCGTAAGGTTGATTTGGCACTTCATATGTTGCTGGTTTTCATTCATACCTCCTATTGTAATGAGCTTGTGAATGATCGGAACAACTAGGATGCTTGTTGTTTCTATACTTGTCTTGAGACTCGAAGCATTGGAGGAAAATTGGACCTGAATTAGCTCAGTGTAATTCTGATTTTAGTTTAGTTTTTGTCTACTGTGTATGCTTCCGATTTATATTGCATGACTGA